TGCTACTGCTACTGCTACTCCTGCTGATCCCGCTCCTACTTCTGATGCTACCACCACTAATGCTACTACTATTTCGCGTATCAATCATCTTGCTCCGGCTCCGGTGGCTCCGGCATTTTCAGGGTCGGGCCAGGTAAGGAGCGCGCGACGCGCCTGTCAAAAAGAACTGTTCATACTTCAGCAAGTGAGGGGCCCTTGGCAAAGAATCTCGTTCTACTTGGGTTCATCTGCGAAACTAAAGTCGCCACAAGGATCCTGGCCTCAGGGTCCTCAGGTCGCCCTGGAACTCTGAGTTAAAGGCAGCCTGCGGGGGGAACGGGGGTACAGGGTTGAGGGACTGGGCTTTTCTTGGAAAGGCAAGCAAGCTTCAAGGACGATGTCGCAGTCAGGGTTTATCAACATCCGAAGATGAAGCAGCTTCAATGCATTTTATCCCGAAACACCAAACCTGCTCAATTCTGAACCAGAGGTGTCCCTGAAAACCCGAAGCATTCAATGGCATCCATTTTTCCACTCAGAGCCGAGGCTTCTTCGGCGCCGGCTCGTCGTGATTTGCCAGCCTGGCTCTTTGGGGCACTGGGAGGGTCCAGCCTGAGCTGCTGCTGCTGCTGCTGCTGGTGGTGGTGGTGGTGGTGGCGGCGGTGGTGGTGGTGGCGGTGGTGGTGGTGTCATGGTGTGGTGGTGCCACGGTGTGATGGTGTGATGGCGTGATAGCGTGATGATGATTATGATGATGATGATGATGATAATGATGGTGATGATGGTAACGGTGGTTGATCATCGCGACGGTCAAGGTGATGTAGAAATCTGCGACTCTGACCAGGTACAATATGGTGCAGCTCTTTTGAAATTGAGTCCAGGGAACCTGCCACGTCGAACACATTCACCGGTAAAGCACACACGCGCACACTGGACACCTTACACCACATGCGAATACAAAGTCGGGACATGACTCGGCAACATATCACCAAGGCTTTATGTACATAGGAGTACACCGAAATGCACGGAACGATGAAATGGCGCCAACCGACAACCGAGCTTGGTCGGCCTGTTTGACGTGCGGCGATGTCCATGCAAAAATACATTAACTTCTGTTTGGTGTCATGCACTGTGGCAGCGTGGCAGGGCAGAATTTGTCTCAACCGAACCGCTACTAGATTGAGCTTCATTGATACAGTCAAACAACCCGCAAGTTGCAAAATCGCGGGAATCCAACATCGTCTTGCCAAAAGGATTGGCGCAACGCGGCCGTCCGTCCGTGGCTAGGCACTCTTACACAAGATGGTCTGCAAGCGAG